AATAAATTCAAACTGCAATGAAGGCATGAAAAATAAGGCTCTGGGTATGGACAGATTACAAAATTAAATCTTTCAACAAACTGATGCAATAGTGGAGGCACTCCCTAATCTTTGCCAATAAATCTGTAAGACAGAAACCTGGCCATTTGACTGGAATAGATTCCACGTTTGTGCCCATTCCAAAGAGAAGTGACCCAACAAAATTCAAAGATCGTCCAAAATATCATTAATATAATATGCAAATAAAATTTGACAGAAAATAATTCAAAATAGCTACAAGAATATATCAACAGGGAGCTTCCAAAACATACGCTGGATTCAGAAGAGGATGTGAATGAAGGATATCATTGTTGATGTCAGATGGATCTTGGTTGAAAGCAAAGGATACCGTAGAGATATTTACTTGGACTTTATTGTCTACTTAAAGGCTTTTTACTGAGTGAATAATAACAACCTATGGATAACATTGCAAAAAATGGGTATTCCAGAAGACTTGATTGTGTTCCTGAGCAATCTGTACATTGACCAATATTCAGTCACTTGAAAAGAACAAGGGAATTATGAATGCTTCAAAATCTGGGAAGGTGCATACTATTGTGTTATTTATTCCCCATACTAAGAGGCACTAAAACAAGATTGAGGTATGCATGCTTTATGGCAGAGAAGAAACATTCCTGTTTGGAAATTGAATCTTTAGTTGTTTCTTATCCCAAATGATACCATGTTCACTTCCTGATTAAACTGTATAATCATAAGTATTGCCTTTGAATTTTACGTGGCCATTTCAATGGATTATCAAACACAAATGAAAAGCAGAGAGAGTTATGAGAGGATGGATGGAATCAAAAGAGGATAAAGAACATCGTAGAGTGGATCCATGTCTGATGCCTGCTTTATGAGAATCTGCCTTGGGTTGATTTTGATTTTGATTCTTCTTTCCTCTTGTGATGTCAGAGGAAGTCAGACATAGCCTCCACACCATTTTTCCATAGCACAGATTGGTAATGTTTTTCTGACATGTTATTTTATTCAGTTTATTCTCTTTAATTTATTGAAAAGAATGAATGTAACATTTTCTTTCTCCTCAGTTACCTTGTTTTACTATACTTCTTATTCTTCTTTGGATTTAAAATTGCTCACCAGGTGTTCTGCAAGATACCTGGGGATTAACATTAATTGAATTGATGGAAACTTAGCATATTAGCTATAGTCTTACTTTTCTCAGCTACATAGTTTAAATGCCTCTTTGAGAAAAATAGCAGTGTCTCTATGCTATGCTATAACATTATACTTCAAGATATATCTTGAAATGTTCTTTTTGATTATGAATGTTACACTTTTCCTCTTAAATTTGTCATTCCCAACAGAATAATGACTTTGTTTTCAGGAGTACACATTGAGAGTAAAATGGACCAGGCAAAATGGTCAATAGGAATAATTAGGGAGATTATTTTTCCACAAGTACAAAAAATCTGTTCTTGATGTAAGTCAGAATGTTCTCTGTGGATGTGTAAGTGTGAATAGTGGGGTCCACACAGAAGAAATTAGGAAAGGTGTGCAACAGGGTCGTATCCTTTCACCATACATTCAAACTGTAAGCAGAGTAAATAATGCAAGAAGCTGGGTTATATGAAGAAAAATGTAGCATCAGGATCGGAGGAAGACTCATTAACAACCTGTAATATGCAGATGATACTACCTTACTTGCTGAAAGTGAAGAGGACCTAAAATACTTACTGATGAATATCAAAACTATAGACTTTGGTATGGATTGCATCTCAATGTAAATGAAGTAAAAATCCTCACCAGTGGACCAATAAATAGCATTCTTAGCAATGGTGAAAATATTGAAGTTGTCAAAAACCATTTTTCTTGAATCAACCATCAACACTCATGGAAACAGCAGCTTAGAAATCACACAATGTATTGCATTAGGCAAATATGCTACACAAGACCTTTTTAAAATGTTGATGAGCAAAGATGTCAGCTTGAGGACTAATGTACGGATGACTCAAGGCATGATATTTTCAATAACCTCATATGAATGAGAAAGCTGG